TGTTATCACCATCAACGAGATAATGAGGAGGAGGTTGATAAAGGCCAGGGTGTGCATTAGAAAGCGATGTTTGTTGCTGTTGCTGTTGTTGCTGTGGTTGACAAATATGTAAAGCTGATGATCTTGGATACAATCGACGCCGTTGAGTCTCTTGCATTCTCTGCTGATGCAGCCACATGCGCTGATGAACTGGATGGATTCGAGAGCCAGTGGAGCCAGCAGTACTTGGAGCTCGATCGTGGTAGAAGGATCGGTGATGATATAGATCTTGTGGATGGTAAAAATGAAATTGTGGAGGCATCATACGTCTCATCCGGCTGTAATTGTGACTTCGGTGCACACAATGCACATCGTTTCTCGAGGATTGTGCTCTCGATGCTAAAGGTTGAGAGGACTGACTTGAGTTCGCCTGGCCGTTTCCATGTTCTTCATCAGATTCAACAGTTAGATCTACAACGGGTACTGCTTGCGGGCGGTGTTCTTGCTGTGGCTGTTGGTGATCTATATTGTTAACTGTCCCCAAAACTTTAACTGAACCTTCCTCATCGTCACTCTCGCTACCGGAAGTCGACCAATCTAACTGTAAATCAGGCGCTGATGGTGTATCATCAGATCGTTCGTTATGACGTAATGCAGTATTGCTTTGGCTAATGGATTGCTCATCGGTTTCATAAGGGGTTGGGTCATTGGTTATTGATTCAACATTACCAACCTCATTGGGACTATTACTAGTAGATCCAGTTGTACTATAATCAACTGGAGCGTCAACAATTCGCGATGGTCCAGCAATGCCCAATGGATTCCTTTGATTATCATTTACTGCCATTTTATGGCTGTTATTTTTATTATCATTTTTAGTCGATGGCAGCTCTCTATTTAGCATCAGACCTCGCATTCTAATGGTCTCAAAAAGTTTCTCAAATCTTCTACGCCTTCGTTCAACTAATCGTTGATAAGGTGAATAAATAAAATTATTACCAGGCGTTGAATCATTCGGCTCACTAGTCAATGACTCAGTGCGATTCTGTGAGTCGGTTTCTTCAATATCCGACTCGGCAAATAAATGATCAAATTCCATCTCCGTACCTATGAATTGTTACTGTCATTTTATTAATATTCATTATTCATAATTAGAACTGTTGATCAATTAAGTTTAAACGCAAAAAAAAACAATTCCTTTTGCAATATTATTTTGGTCAAAAGTTTATAGTTTACTCATTGAAAATTGGAAATATTCAATAATAAAAAAATATTGGCTATTGTGCTTGAAGCATAAACGTATAGTTGGAGTATTATTGAACAGTGAATAAACCTCGTTGACAATAAATAAATAGTTCTATTAGTCTATCGGCTAAAGGTATACAAAGAGACAATATATTTTACCTGTTGG